TTTGGTACCGGGGATTGAACTCGGGTCTTTGCGCTTGCAAGGCAGGCCACCGAACCGCTGAGCTAAATCCCCAGCCCTAATAAATCTTAATACAAAAATGGATGCACAGCAAAACAAAATTTATAGAATGCAGAGAAAGCAGTTCTAAGAGAGAATTTTGTAGCAGTAAATGAGTGCATGAAAAAATAGACTTCAAAAGCAGTCTAATGTTGCACCTCAAGGAACTAGAAAAATAAAAACAAACTAAACCCAGGGGCGGGGATTAAGGTCAGTGGTTCGGCTTACTGCCTTGCAAGTGCAAGGTCCCAAGTTCAGTCCTCAGTACCAAACAAACAAAAACAAAACCCAAGTTTAGTAAAGGCAGGGAAATAATAAAGACCACGGTAGAAATAGAGACTACACAAACAAAAGAAAACATTAATAAAATGAAAAGTTGCCTTTTTGAAAAGATAAATTTTAAAAGCCATTAGCTACACTAAGAGAAAAAGAAAGAAGATTCAAATATATGAAATTAAACATGAATCAAGAGATATTATAATTGGTATCAGATAAATAAAAAGGATTATAAGAGTGTACTATAAACAATTATGTACCAAAAATCAAATAACTTAGAAGACATGAATAAATTTCTAGAATGTATAATATACTATGATTGAATCATGAAGAAAATGACAATCTGTATAGATTAATAACATGAAAAGAAAGTGAAACAGTAATATTGAAATCATCCATCAAAGATAAACCCAGATCTGATGACATCACTGCTGAATCCTAACAAACATTTAAGGAAGAACTAATACCATTTTCAAACTAGTCTAAAAAACTGAAGAGAAAGAAACAAATTCATTTTATAAGGCCAGCACTACCAGCAAAGCCAGACAAGTAATAGAAGAAAATAAAATTACAAACAAATATCTTTGATAAACATCCATGTAAAGTTCCTCAACAAAATACTAGCAAACTGAATACATCACAGTTATAAAAGATAGTAATCATTCACTGCGATCAAGTGGAATTTACTCCTGGGATGCAAGGATGATTCAGCATATGCAAATAAATAAATTGCTATACTATATTAAAAGAATGAAGGATAAAAACCATATTGTCCAATAGATATAAATTTGGAATTTAGCATGATTTAACACTAAAATCTGTGGAAATAAAAATGCATGGTACTGGCATAAAAGCAGCCACATGGACCAAAGGAGTAGGTTAGAGAGTCCAGATACAAACCCACACATCTATGGTGAATTGATTTTGTTTTTGTATTTTAATGTAATATGAGAGGTATTAATAAAGAAAATAGAAAAACATTCTTCTATGAAAATTTCATAATAAAATAATTAGAGAATAAAATGGCTAAATATACTGTGTATCATGATCTTAAAAGAATGGCCAAAATGTAGTCAGATATTAGAGTACAAGTCATAAACCAAAGATGATTCTCTCTTCCAAAGAAGAAACAAATAAAAGGACAAAACTTTCTTTTCAGTGAACAAAAGAAACCAACAGTATAAATGAAACAAGTTAGCATTTATCTTAAAATATTTTAAAAGGACAGACCTTCTCCCTATTTATCTATTTTCCATTTTGCTCTTTATTTATATATACATATAAGAGGAGCCATGTGTTATTTAAGCTTTAATAAATTCTGGGAAAACTGGATATTCACATGCAGAAGTTTGAGTCTAGACCCATATTACTCACCATGGCCACTTGATTTGAACAAAGGCACCAAGAGCACAAGTAGGGAAGTGGATAGTCTAATAAATGGTGTTGGGAAAATGGGATATCCACATGACATAATAATGAAAACAGCCCTTCTCCCACCACTTATATAAGATTCAACTCAAAATTAATCAAAAACTTCAATGTCAGACCTGAGACTATAAAATTGGTATAAAAATTTCCATCACATTGGTCTTGGTAGAGATTTCTTGAATATAACCCACAAGCACAAATGATGAAAGTAACATAGACAAATGGGATTGTACCAAACTGCAAACTTTTTTTTTTTTTTGGTACTGGGGATTGAACTCAGGACCTTGTGCTTGCAAGGCAGATGGCAGCACCACTGAGCTAAATCCCTGGCCCTGAAAACTTCTTTACAACAAAGAAAACAGTTAATAGAATGAAGAGCTAACTGACAGATTAGGAAAAAATACTTTCAAATCATATATTCTATAAGGGGCTAATATTCAAAATATACAAGGAATTCTACTATTATTAAGAAAACAAGCTTACTATCAATGAGCAAAGATCTTGAATAGATATTTCTCAAAAAAGACCTAAAAACGACCAAAAGGTGTGTGAAAATGTTCAATATCTCTAATGAGCATAGAAATGCAAATTAAAACCACAGTGAGATAGCACCATACAGTATTTAGACTTCTGGCTACTATCAAAAATGAAGGCTAACAAATGTTGTCAAACCAGGACCATTCTGGAACCCTAATTACACATGTTAGAACTTTCTCTGCATCCCACTTGTCTCTAAATGCTCTTTTATGTATTTTTATTCATCCTCATCTCATTGTCAATTTGAATATTTCCTACATACTTATCTTTCAGTTCACTATGTCTTTCTTATACAATACCTTGTCTGGTGTTCAACTCATGCCATACATTCTTACAGTCTTATAGGTATTTCATTTTTCAGTTATAGAATTTCAGTTCTTTTCAAAACACACTCTAATTATTTTTTAAAGTCTGTATTCATTTACATGTATTTTCTACATGTTTCTCTCTATGTTCTTGAACATATCAAACGTAGTTCTATGAAAATTCTTTTTACCTAACTCTGATATGTGAATCACTTACTGGGTTAGTTCTATTGTCTTTTTTCACTCTTTATTTTTCATCACACAGTCCTGTATTTTACTTTTTCAGTTACTTTCCTGAATAGCAGACATTAATAAAAATTTTTAATATTAGCCCCTTATCGACTATATGATTTGAAAATAGTGGCTCAGAATTAGCCTTCTCACCAGACGGTGCATCTATTCATTTGCTCAGAAGTTAGAGTGGAAGCTGGTCATGATAACTTGAAGAAGTTGTGCTGAGTCAAGGCCTAGTTTACAACTCATTGTCCCTTAGTCCTCTGGGATTGTCATATGAGTGCTTGGATTATACAGGGGACTCTCACCCTGGAAGGTATTAAACTCAAATTTTTGTTTCACTAGACCGTGGAAAGCCTGTGCTTTTCCAGAGGTTTTCTGTTTAGTCTTTTTCCCTACTTACTTGAGCAGCCTCGAAGTCCTGCAAGTGTTCTAATGAAAAAGCTGGCTGTGTGCTTAAGGACGACCTCAAAGGCTCCAGAAGTTTTGCCGGCTTCTTGCACCTATTGGCAGTTCTCTGTTATATGCTAGGCACAAGGGACATGCTTAAAACAAACTGTTAGAAAGACTGAAAAATCTAGGATATTAAATTCTAGGCAAATTCTAACTAAAAGAATACTGTAGCAGTGTACTTTTAGTTAAAAGAAATTCTCTAATAATGGAAGAAAATTAGAAATCAATTCCAAAAATATAGACATCTTGCATACATTTAGAATTTTAGAAAAAGAAAGTTTAAGACTTCATAAATATAAAATAGGTAAAATAATTCATGGACAAAAAAATGGAAATTACGAAAACATTAAGAGTGAAGAGAGTAGTCCTGGTACTGTCTCATTTGGTATCTAAAATGGCCTCCAAATTCCCACTCCCTCTGAATATGATGGGTTACCATGACAATGATTAGGTTGACAATCAGTTCACTTGGAGTTAATCAAATGAGAGGTTATTTGGGGTAAGCATGACCTATTCAGATATGCATCGGAGACACATTCTTATGCTGGTTTCTGAGGAAAAGAGTAAACAGCCAGTGTAGAGGATCAGCCTCGAGGAACTGAGAGCTGAGTCCAGCCAATAGCAAACCATAACCCAGTCAGACTGCTGGAAGAAATTGAATTCTGCCAAATTCTGGGATGAACATGAAAGAGGACCCTGGGCCCCAGATGAGAACTGCACCTCTGGCCAATAATTTCACTGCAGCTTTTCTCTATAAGACTCTGAGGGGAAGACCCCAGTAGGCCATGCCCAGACTCCTGACCAATGGAATCCTTGAGATAATAAAAGGGTGTGGTTTGTTTGTGGCAATTTGTCCCATAGCAATAAAAAGTAGCATGCTTTTTCTTTCTAAGCACTATCCTGGTGGGGCAGGGATTATATATTTGTCATTCAAATATAGACAGTGCAGTTCTGGCCTCTGGCTATTTGAAATGTATTTCCTGGCTTCTAGCCCTCGTGTTAGGTTTGTTCTATCTTCACTCTAGCAGTGGTGTTAAGGCCCAGTCAAGTTGAGTTATAGTGTCAGTACATTTCCCCATCACTCCCTATGAGTTCTTTTTCTATTTCAAGAGCACAGATAATTTACTCTCCTATTTTAAAGTATGCTGTGCATTTTTAAATTATTTGAAATATGTCCACCATCTTTGCGTACTTGAAGTTGGAGAAGGCTTATGCATGTCTTCTCTGACATGTAGGCCCCCAAATCCCAAATCAATTTTAAGTCAGCAAGAATCTTCAATCTGCAATAAATAGACCAATAAACTAGATTATCTCACATAGAATAATATAAAAATAAACTTTTGTACCTTGGAGGAGCTAGTGTCTGCTCTAGAAACTCCTCAATTTTAATGAAGTCAGTTTTCAATTCCTTGTTATACACCAGGAAGGGAGGATTGGTACCTGGGGCCAAGTCCTTCAGCTCTTCAGGTTTTCTATGATTATTGAAAATAAACAGAGTTACGCCTTTAGATAAAGTACACATCATACACCAGAGAAACAATGTGATATTCAAACATGTGTGTCCAACTTATTTCGCTTAAGAGGATGGTATCAAAGTACATTCATTTACCTAGAAATGTTTCAAGTTTATTCTTCTCTATGGCAGAGTAGTACTCCATTGTATTTTAAAAACCCACAGAAGTGTAAATAAGGGCCAAAATGCACAAGAGATATTGAGAAATTGGGAGAAAGTGTTCAAATGGAAAGGAGAACAAGAGAGTGGGTAGGGGAAAAGAAGGAAGGATAAAAAGAGCATAGAAAGAAAAAATGGAAACAAAGCTTTTGTAAATAAGGAGGGGAAGAGGGATTGAAGGGAGGGGGGATTGGGAAAAAAAGAATCAAGATATATTATGTACAGGTACAATGATGAATGTGATTATTATGTGTATCTAAAATGTACCAAAAAATGTAAAAAGTGAAAAAAGTACACCTTATACAAATACCAACATTCAATTCACTCTGAACTCATTGATTCAATTCAATCTGAATTTCCAGAATTTAACATGTTATGATTTCTCTTACCTGGTCATGTCAACGGTAGTCACATTAAATTTAACTCCTTTAAGCCAGAGGATCATGAAAAGGCGTTGACAAAAGGGACAGTTTCCAATGCTCTCTCCATCACTTCCAGCCTGTTACGGTAAAGTCTCAATTCATTAATTTGTTCAAGTAGGTATTGAGTTCCCATTGAGAAATAAACTAGTTTCTGGAGAAACAATTGGAAGTTTTTAATGTATGGGCTAAGAAAAAAATGAATCAATTCTATTATATATAAAATTACAAGTGATGTGAACATATAATAAATTTTATAATATTACCAAATTTATAACTATTTTCTGGTTGATAGAAATTTAGAATATTGCAAATTTTTTACTACTCTAAATACTTCTGTGACAAACATTTTCTGTCCATATAACTTACACCACTTATGAGATTACATCTTTAAAGCTAACTTTAAAATGAGTACATGAGTAAAGATTATCCACATTTTTCTGTTTTGATAGATTTTGCCTGAATTTTTTTCTATGTTCTTTGACCACTTGATTTCTTTATTGTATAAATTATTTATTCATGGCTGTTTCCCACTTCTCTATTAGGAGGATGACTTTTTCTTTTATTGATTTGAAAAAATTATATATATATATACTAAGACATTAACTTTTTGTGACGTATTTTACATGTGTTTTTAAAATGCCATTTAAATTAAACTTATATAAAATCTGATGTTCTTTTCCTTTATGCAGTTTTGTTTTTCGAATCTGCTTAAATATATCATTTACAAAAAGCTAATTTTTTACTTTATTTTCTTTTTTTTTTCCTATAAAGACCTATCCATCATGGTTTCATTTTTGCATTTGTTTAAAGTATTTGGAATTCATTTTTGGTATGAGAGGTATACTGGCACTCCTGATTTAGTACTTTTTAACTATTTCTGTTTTTTTTCCAAATAGTTAATAGTGGTCATATACCATTCATTAAAACACAGCTTTCTCCTATTGACTGAAAACAGCAACACACTCTTCTGCTTTGAAATTATATATATATATATTTAACCTGTAGGCATTCTGTTTTTCATTCATTCATTCACTTACCCAATAAATATTCACTGAACATATTGCA